GAACAAGCTTGTCAAAGCACAGGGACTGCGGTTCAATCCCCCAGCACCACATGCCAGCCAGCCCCCCCCCCTGGTGGGCTGAGCGGCACACACACACACACACACACACACACACACACAAAATGAATAAATAAATAAATAAAATTTTAAACAAAAAAAAATTTAAACAAAAAATAAATAAATAAATAAATAAAATAAAGAAACAAACAAACGAAGATCCAAAAGAGGTCAGTCCACCAGTGGTTGACAAGGTCTTGTGGAAGGGGAGAAAGAGTGACTGCAGTGAGCATGAGATTTCTATGTGGGCCTAAGGAAATGTCAACATATATATTGATGTATATTGAAGCAGGGATGGAACTCAGGCCCTTGTACTTGCCAGGCAAGCTCTTATTCTACTGAGCCATCTCCCCAGGCCCGCAAACCTGTATTTTTAAAATATGGAGTTCTGTAACAATGGTCAAGCTGGTCACAGGCTCCTCAGTGCTCTATTGTCTTGGGTCACTCTGGTTGGTGTCAGGGTCCTTGAGCCAGATTGCTGCTCACGGCTGTCTTGAACCTCAGCCCTTCCAGCCTACCCTGAGGTTATAAATTGGGGCATTCATGTGTGGGACCCTTGTGAATATTCTCTTTCCCATACCTGGTCACAGCGGGGACAGAGTATAGCCAGATTGCTTCAGTGTTGTCTACAAACTGGTGTTATTGTGCACGCCAGATAGGATGGAGGTTTTATCTCAGGACAGGCTATTGGCAGAGATAGCCTCCCTTTAGGACACAGTGGACAAGGAGCTCACCTGCAGAGCTGGCCCTGCAGAGTGGCAGCCTCTCCTTGTTGGGCACTGTCTTGATGAGTATCCATGACGAAGACTGAATGAACTAGGCACAGGCCATCTTGGGAAGGCCACAGATATCTTTCACACTTCCTGGTCCTAGCAAGCTGAGCAGGGGGCTGCAGAACCACCTTGGGCTCATCTGCTGAACCAGGCCATACAACCCAACCTGGAGCTAGGCTGGGGGCGCCTGGGGCATAAGTGCAGTGGCAACCTGGAGCCCCAACATTGTTCCCTCTACTCCTACCACTGTATCTTGCTTCTAGGCCTTGCCTCAAAGACACTCTGGGCCCCAGCCCACCTCATGCCATTCTGCCCCACCCTACTGCCACCTGGCTAGCCTGGGTGGGCTGTCTCACTCTGAAGTCTCCACCACTCTTTTTTCTTTGTGTGTCTTCTTGAGACAGAGTTTCACTATGCAGTTCAGGTTGGCCTTAGACTCACTTTGTAGCCCCAGTGGCCTTGAATTCATGGTGATCCTCCTGCTATGGCCTCCTGAGTGCTGGTATTCCTACCTGTGCCACCATATCTGGCTTCACCACTATTTTGTTCATTAAACAAGTGTATGTGGGCACCTGAGGCCAGTGGCAACCTGGAGCATGAGCAAATTTTAGTGGTGAATAGACAAGATTGAGGGTGTTTTCTGGTATATATATCTGAACATTGCAGCTTCAGACAACTGGAAGTAGATTTAAGCAGAAAATGATCTTGTGTGCTCCACTGGCGGAGACTCTGTTGGTTGGCGGGTGCCCTCCTGGTTTGAGTCCAGCCCCTGGAACCCATTTGCTGCACACAAGCTCCATATCCTCGCTGGTGGTAGCAAGAGACGCTAAGAGGCTGAGTGGGGCCGAGTGAGTGTGCACGTGCATAGGTATGTGCGTTGTGTATATATGAGTGCGTTGTATTGATAGATGTGTGTGTATTTATGTTTATGTGCATGACCTCTTAAGTACAAGGTGAGCCTTTTTGTGGGTTTCCAGCAGGAATATTGTTCTAGAAGGCACTGCCTCATGGAGAATGGGATGCTAGTAGCCTGTGGGATGCTGTCTGAGGCAGTAGTCCAAAGTAGGCACCATCCATGGGCAGAGGATCCCTGGTGACTGGGGAGGCAGTGGGACACTGATGCCTGCCTGCAAGCGGTGCCTTGGGGTGACCAAGGTTTCCGGCTGGGCACTAGCTGGTGCAACTTCCTGCCCATATTTGAAGTGGTTTAGTAATAACTCAAAACAAGAAGTGCAGAGTTTCGTGGCTCCAGGCTTGACTGAGAACAGTCATCCCAGAAGGGCAGGGTGTGAGGAAAGGCAGAAAGAAGAGCAAGGGGACCTGATAGCACCCCCTCACACTCATCTTCCCCTTCCTGTTCATAGGCTGGGGGCTCCCAGTTCTCTTGAGGTCCAAGAATGCTGGGGACACTGAGTCTACTCACAGTCACCTTGAAAAACAGATTGCTACTTCTGCCCAGGTTGGGGAGACTGCACCTGGGTAAGGTCTGGACAGGCCTCTAGTGTCAAGAGCCTAGGATGACACCCTATTCCAGTGGGTGAGCTGTGACCAGGGACTGGAAGTCTGGCAGGGGAGGTTCTAGTTGAGAGTGGTAAGGGGTCAACACACCTGCTCAAGGTGGGTCACACTGGATGGGGCTCTGAGTAAGACGAACCTCACCAAGCAGCATGAGAAGGTGGCAGGCACCTCTGGGAACACAGGGACTGCCACCCCTGGGAGGAAGTGTGCAATTCAGAAGGGTGAGGCACTGAAAGGCCTTTCCTGACTCCGGAACAAGCACAACCTGGGGGACAGGGCTGGGCATGAGGACAACAGGGTAGCACAAGGGCTGCAGGTGCAAGGGGAGGCAGCTTTACAGGGCCCCTCCATGTTGCAACCTCCTCATGAGCCCATGGAAGTCCTTGGGCTGAGGAAGCCTCCCTGAGCCCTGACACCTGTGGGTTGCTTGGCTCTTTACCCCTCTTGCCTGCTCTTCTCCCCTTGTTCTTCCCCCTCTATTTGTCCTTCTTGGTGCACCTCTTAGCACTGTATCCCCCAAAGACAGCAGTGATGACTTTGGGTAGACACTGCTAGCAAAGGGTGCTGGCCAGGGTGGTTCTAGAACAGAGAGGTGTTGGGTTCAGAGGTGCCTGGGAGTTAGGAAGCAGATGGGCAGCAACAGAGCCCACTACATTAAGGGAGGAGTGCAGCTCACAGTTGGCCCCTGGCAGCAGATAGAGTGGGTTGGGCCTCCGAATTGTCTACAGGTAACCCAGGGTCTGCCTTCAGGTGCCCCTCCCAGGAATCTCTACTGGGCAGGCTGAGGGGGTTGAGGGGAACACAGAACTCTCTCTCTCTCTCTCTCTCTCTCTCTCTCTGTCTCTCTCTCTGTCTCTCTCTGTCTCTCTCTCTTTCTCTCTCCACACACACACACACACCCCAATCTGACTGGTTTCTCCTCTCCTGGACTTGGATCCCTTTGTTGGAGGCCAGGTAGTCCCAGAACCCAGGCATCGCTTTGGGCACAAGTCTGTTTTCCATGTAGGTGAGTACTCCTCAGGATTTTTCAGGACTTAGCCTAGGTAGGTAAAAGACTGGACCTTGAGATTCACACCTGTAATGATCCCCAAAAGGCTGGTGGAAATATCCTGTCCTAGGCAAGGAGACCAATCTCAAGCTAAATAGCAGAGTCTCCAAAGAATAATGGTATGGAAAAAAAAAATAATGGTATGTATTTGACAAGGGGATGTTTTTAAAAAGCAAAAACAGAGACATTCATGTCAGCAGCTTGGATTCTAGTTTTCAGTCTTTGAAACCCAGTGTGGCAGGA